ACCAATGCTTGTCCGATGACCACATCATGGAAGTCAATTAGTTGCACAGAACCCAGGCCATATTTTTGAACCACAGACTCTACCGCTGCCGATATATACCCAGCTGCAGGAAATACCATTTGACCTTGGACCTGGTGATGTGCCAACCAAGGAACCTCCCTAGGATGGAGATAGTTGCGCCACCGTAGCTCATTGTCTGTGCCGTCGGGGCATTTGACGCCCAATAGGGGATGGAATGGTTCCCTTTCAGTGCGCATTGCAGTGGATGATCGAGACTCGTGCCAATAAATTCGGCCATGATCCCACGAATACGATGGAAGGCCCTTGATGAGCCGTGGAATGCTTTGCTTTTGCATTGTCTTCATTTCAAACCCAGCGAAGTCCACGGCACTTTCACCCAAAGCAATCCACAAGGCCCCCAGCGTGGATGAGAAAGCCTCGCTGTCATTTTTACCACGGTTCAAGGTCCCAGTGTAAGGCAATACCTGGCCAGACACTTCTTGGATCGTTTGCATTGCAGGTCCTTTCAATGCTGGATGAGGACCAATCTCCAAAGCCATGTCAAACGGGCCAGATGCGCCAACTGCATAAGTGACGGCCTGGGAGAATAGTACGGGCTTGACCATGTTGTTGATCCAGTATGTGTCGGCGAGATTGTCGCTCACATTGTCAATACTGTCACCATACACACTAGAGATCCAGGTAGCACTGCCACTAGGTGGGCGCTGAATGGCTACACCACACTTGCGGACCGCTGTGATATAAGGACCTGCGCAGGGAAGCATGTGATGTGAATGATAAGCTCTGTCCACTTTCAACAAGCGAGCAAATTTCTTCTCGTCTTCAAGGGTTTCCCTCGCCTCGTCAATCGCATCGGCGTCCCCGGAAATTGTGACGCTGGCGGAAGAGTTGCTAGCCGCCACGCAAATTCTATTCTCTAGTGACGGCATCTCGCAAAGCTCCTTTGCGTCTTCGAAGGATGTCCCCGCGGCCATCATTGCCCCTTTCTCCCCTGCCTGGCCCGTTGCATATTGCAGAGACCACCCGCGGTAATAGGCAATGCGAATAGCATCCTCTTCATTGAGATATCCCGCGGCATACGCTGCCGCAATCTCCCCAGAGGAATGGCCAACGACAGCGGTGAGTTTCAGATTGGCTGCCCGGAGAAGCTGAACCAACGCAATCTGAATTGCGGTACAAAGAGGTTGCGAAAACGCCGCCTCGCCAATACGAGATGAGGACTTGTCTTTAACAAGCTCCTCCCTCATCGACCAAACAGGGCGATGCTCAGTGGGTAGTTCCTGCAAAGACCGATCAAGGCGAGTGATGCAATCACTGACCATTGGTAAGTTTTCGACCAATTCAGCTCCCATCCTTGCCCACTGTGCTCCTTGGCCGGTGAACAGTCCGAGCAGTTTTGGTTCGCGGATACTTCCTGTTTGCGTGCTGAGTGTTATTGCCGAGGACACCGCTGCTTCATCCAGCCTTGCAGCAAGCTCTCCAGGGCTTGATGCAGACACCGATAGCCGTACTGGCAGGGTAGAACGCCGAGAGTTCAATGTCCATGACAGATTGCGGATGTTGATATCAGAATGATTTCGCAAATATGCCGAGTATGCTGCAATGTTGGTGAGAAGTGACTTTTCGGATGAGGCTGAAAAGTTGAATGATGACACTGCTACAGAGCTGCCATCTGCGGCGTTGCGATCACGAACAGGCAGGCGTGAATCAAACGCTTCCAAAATTGCATGCGCATTCGCACCACCAAAGCCAAAGCTATTGACACTAGCACGGCGGGGGGTACTTTCTGGGAGTTCAGGCCATTCCTTAGCAACTTGAAGGATTTCAAGGTCGCTGTAGAAGGGAAGTACCGTGGAACTTAACTCGTTAAGCAGTAGGTTTGGCGGGATGATGGCATGTTGTAAAGCCAGCGAGGCTTTGAGGACCGCTGCCAATCCAGCCGTGCCCTCGGTGTGGCCGATCACTGTTTTGATGGATCCGACATACAAGGGGTCCTCCTGGTTACCATCGCGGTAATATTTGGCTGATTTTCCAAAAAATGCAGTGCTGATGGCCTCCGCTTCGACTGGGTCACCTGCTGGAGTTCCTGATTTGGTCAGCAGGCTATCTCACCGTTAGACTAAGATTACGCACCGGTGCCATGGGCTTCGAAATATTGTGGTCGGTCGGTGGGTTTAGAAAGATCGAGTCCGGCTCGGGCGTATGTCGTGCGAATAAGGTCAGCTTGAGCCACAGGGTTGGGCATCGTAATTCCTTTGGTGCGACCATCTTGATTGGCACCTGTCTCCCGAACTATGCACTCAATGTGATCCCCATTCGCCAATGCAGCACTTAATGGTTTGAGTATGACGGCAGCAATTCCATCACCACGTGCATATCCATCTGCGCCTTTATCCCACATGCGCGAGCGACCCGTCGGGGAGAGCATCTTGAGCTTGCTCTCTGCGATGTATTGCTCCGGTCCCAGCAGAAGATTAGTTCCTGCTGCCACCGCAACATCAGTCTCACCACTTCGCAGGCTCTGTACGGCCTGGTGCAGGGCAATCAGACTAGACGAACATGCCGTGTCGATGGTCATCGAAGGCCCGCGCCAGTCGAAGAAGTAGGACACTCGATTGGATAGAATGCTTCGAGCAGTGCCCGATGCAAAATAAGTCGGAAAGTTCTGTACATCCCGACCTAACATATCGGCATAGTCGTTGGTCATCAGGCCAACATATACACCGGTGTTCGACCCTTGTAGCTTTTCCATGGGAATGCCAGACGTTTCCAGGCCCTCGTAAACAGTCTCAAGCAACAGCCTTTGTTGTGGATCAATCGAGTTTGCTTCCACTGGCTTGGTTCCAAAGAATTGAGCGTCAAACAATCGATGATCGTCAGACAATAAATAGGAATGCCGAACATTCGTAGTGCCATGGTGAAGGCCATCAGGGTGGTAAAACGCTTTGGTGTTGAAGCGGCTTTCTGGGATTTCGTTAAGAACATCTCGAGGTGCCTTGAGAAGGTCCCATAGCTTCGAGGGCGTTGTTGCATCACCGGGAAAGCGGCAAGCACTTCCCACAATGGCAATCGGCTCTCCGGTATGAAGACTACCTGTCATTGTGTAGCTCAGGTTTCACTGACTCTAAACAGGCTGGTGCGACGAATGTGGGACTTTATGTACTGCAATGAAAGGTCTATAGGGTATCAATAATGGACAATCGGGACAAGACTTTCTCCGCAGCATTCACACTCTAGTTGCTAGCGACGGGGAGCGGTACATATCAATGTGCCGAGGCTCGTTTTGGTTGTCAGATTAGCAAAGTTCGGACATCCAATCTCGCATCATCTTGCCATTTCTTTCAGCTGGTTCCGACTCCGATGCCTACCTCCGGGTTCGTGATATGAAATGAGACAAATCACGATGAAGGTGTGCGATCCACCGGTTTTTTGCTATGTGTGCTGAGCAATTTCCTGTATTCTCTTGTTCCATGTTACTCCAGAAATCTAGAAGACCCAAGTACATAGGCTTCCAAGGTTTGCCAGTCCGGCTAGTTTGAAATCCGAAGACCGAGTCCGAGTCCGACGGTCTTTGCCCTTTGCATTTGCATATTGGGGATGTAATCAAGAGGATCAAACCACTCATGATATGCCAGCATACGGGTAGGGATCATAGGCATGTGGTCTATGGCATGGCTCCTAGGGTGGCATTATACAAGACCCCAAGCAGAAGATGCGTCTCAATAATCATATTCCTACAGAGTCAGTACTCGGTAGGTTCAGCACCACGGTTCAAGTCTGAGCTAAGCTAGATACCTAGGTGGAGTTCCACTGGTAGAACAGATGTGTCCCCGGTCATTCCCAGGCTTCAGTTCTCGGCTACATTTCCATATGCCATGGGTCATGGTCGGTTCGAGTCCTAGCCTTAAAATAATTCAAGTTTCAACTGGTAATGTCCGGCCATAGCTGCATATCGTAGTTTGAACGATCAAAACGTGGCAAATCGACGTGGTCTGCATAATTTGTATTGTTTGTTCCCCTATTCCGTTCTAGGCAGGAGGTAAAAATGTATCCCAACCTCTCTAGGCAGGAGGTGAAAATACATTCCACCCTCCGTAGGGAATGCGGCAGAGATCGAGACAGGCATAAGGTAAGAATAAAGGACTTCCTGCGGGCAAATCGCACAGACAAGGTGGGAGAACAGAGGGAGAGGAGAGACAGAAGAGATCGAAATGTCCACGGGTACATGTCCGTCGCGTGTTCCTGACTCAGGCATCAAATATGGCCTGAGGCCTCGATTTCTTTGGAAGTCTGTGGTGGTGGACTTAGTTAGGGTGCATGTGTCGGATTGGGGAGTATTGTAAATGTAGGGGTCCAATCAATGGTATTCAACTCTCTGTATTTCTGTATCGGCTCTTCGTACAGTATACATATGGAGCCATGATTACATAGCATTAATTACAAAAATATGTAGGATTAATAAATCCTCCGGTATGCCGGTCGTCATACTCCGACAGCATGTTGGTGCCGCAGACATAAATGATTTACCAACGTAGATAGTTGAAATATCGCGCCCATTGTTACCAGCCAGTTCTTTGAAGGATAAGGGTACATTTCAACGAGAATACTAAGTATAAAGAGCAAAGGAAAAAGATAAAGCCGGAAAACTCTCACGGATCCCATTCTTCATGTTCCACATCGTCACACCCATTGGCAATCAACTCTCACCGTCCTAATCCACAGGCCCCCACACACTGTAGATGACACATCAAAGTCTCTCCATAGCAACCTTAGAAGAGGAGAATGAGAGTCTCTACTCAATTACCGCAATTTCCGAGAATCTCAGTCAAATCCCATATATTAGACCCCGTATTGTAAGCGTGAAAGCTAGGAGAAGGTAAAAATGGTTTCCTGTCATTGTCATTATCTGGGCCTAACTACTAAGGAGGAGGCGGTGCTGACGTTAGCCGGTCACACTTCCATGGGTATGGCGACTAGCTTTAATAAATATAAACAAATTCATCATTCTCCCGATCGGTCAGATCCTGGAACGCATTGTCCCCAACTTGCACAGTCGCATGTCCAGTCTCCTCTAGACTGTCCTGCATATTGTGATAATCATTTTGCATCGAAAGGTCAACGATTTCAGCTCTCTTGCCGTTTTGTACACGTCGACGGGCTTGTTGTTTATTGAGGAACCATAGATTGGCCCACTGAATGAACACAACAGCGGCCAAAGTGGTGAAGATTCCGAGACATGCGCGCAGGCCTGGGTGGTAGGCTGGCTTGTCCTTCTCGTTGAAGAGCAACGGACCAATGATATTTCCTGCCGAGCTTGCTGCATTGTACATGCTCATGATAACGGATTTTTTAGTGGTGCCTGCCGTGTTGCCGATGATCCAGGTCACAATCAATGGATTGCCGCCAAATAAGAATGCCAGCAGGTAGTAGCCAGCAAGTAACTGGCCCTGCACAGACTTAGTCCGAGCCACAGCATATAAAATTGCTAGGCCAGCGATCACGGGCAGCATGAAAGCTGCGATGATAGCGCCCTTCACACGAGCAGTTTGGGCGAGATAGCTTGCCAGCAGAATGATGATGAATTGCAATGCGCCAAATGGCATAGTCAACAGAGTTGTCCTGTATTTATCGTATCCAAGGCCGCTTAGAATCAGTGGACCGAAGATGTTGGTCACGCTGGCTCCAATGTTGAGGAGCATTGCCATTCCAATCCACAGATATGTTTTGGGCTCTGAGCAGGCTTCGAGGACATGACTGAACTTGAACTCCGTATTCCCGGTTCCGGTCTGGTTGGCCCGAAGGCGTTCTATGCCTTGAGCTTTCTCCTCCTCATTAAGGAAACGAGCAGTGGATATATCGTTGTCCAAGCGCCAGTAGACGAATGGAGAAGATGCAACAGTTATGAGGCCAACCACAAGAAAGATGCTAAAAGCGGGTAAGAATATACCACTTTCAGGGAGGTGGGAAGGGAGTTTCCTACATTTGCCATGATTTGAGAACATCGGACTCTATCTGTGCCAATCCATAAGATAAGGCAGCTGCGACGATGGTTGCTAGACCGTTTGTGCTATACCACGCAGCGATCCGGATCGGTTGCTCTGCACGGCGGTACCATTGACTTGTGATAACACCGAAGAGAGGGAGACAGCCGGCCTCGAACAAACCCAAAAAGAATCGGGCGGCCATCAAGGAGTTGAAGTTGTGGCACACAGCCATACATGTCTGGGCAATTCCCCAACCAAGGCATAGTGCTGGCATCAGGATTTTGTGGGGAACCTTGACAATCAGGTATGAAGAAAAGGGCTGCCAGGCAAGTTGTGCAATGGGGCTGATGGAGCCGACGAGTGAATATTCGTTGCCGGTAAGGCCCGTGTCTTTCTGCAAACCGAATGTTGCACCGTATCCGAGGACTGTCTTATCGAGGATCTGCAAAAAGTAGACCCAGGCCAGCACAACAAGAATCGTTCGGTCGGTCTTGCGGCAGATGCGCTTACTGTCTTCTTCGGTCAAAGGGACGCGTACAATGCCACTATTGTCCATGATTTTGTCCCCCTGCTGTGGCTCTGCCGCTTCATTGTGAGCAACATCTGGTTTGGACATGGTGGGGTCTTGCATTGTAGAAAAATATCTATACCTTCCCCTTTCTTACCCATCAGGACATATATATAGTACCAGACGCCGTACCCCACGTCATCGATATGAATTTTGGCGTTTTCCCCATTTTCCCCATGTTCCCTCGTGATCCCCCATTTTCCCCCATGCTCCCCCACGTCTCCGCATCCCCCACGAAATGTAGCAATAGCCAAGATATTTAGCGAACAAGCCTTACCGTATATCGATTAGTGTTTTCCCTGTCATCCAATCGATTAGAATTTCCAAGTTTCCTTGTTTCTCTCCACCGACAAACCCGGCCTTGAGCTTCGGAATGGAGATCCCCATTCGGACACCCCCTTGTTACCGAGACCAACCGAAAACTCGGCGGTCGTGGGGGTGAACACCTTACCCACCTATGGTATGAGGCCGATATTACCTCAGCGTATTTCTATTTGACGGTCGGGTATTGGACTGGATTGTCGGCGTCTGAACTCCTTTGCCGTTGTGAATTGTCACTGGCAGAGGCAAGATGCCGATCCTCGGTCGGATGGGCCGAAAACATATCCCAAAATACTTGGCACCCCACGGGAGTTTTTTTTTTGCACTAGGAAAACAATACGCAGCACGGAGTACGTCTCACAATATATGAATATCATCTAGATGACTCCTAGAATAGAAGAATCCAATGCCGGGTATACTTATCACTGTATGGGTTCTTCTGATATATACTTCGTATACTCTTTCTATTTTTCTACTTTTTCCGTTCACGTCTGAAGACCCGGAAAAGACAATTTCGAGGAAAAAAAATACATTATTAATACACTGCACTCCGCAATACATTTAACACATATAGGATTCAGAAAACAAAGAGTGGTCAAGTTGGTTGGTCAAGTTGGCCGAGGACAGTTGCTTGAGGTACAGTCAAACCAGTCAAACCTGGAGATTCAAGGTTTCAATTTGATTTAAATGCTTCGTGGTATTCTTACCACCTTACCACATTAGTTTACCCACCACAAAGAATGTCCTAATCTTTAATCATGGCCCCAGTTTTTGAGCGAGCGGTAACTCCTTCTGCTCGTGTCGTGCTTGTTATCACTCCTCTTGCGCTAAATGGCGCTTGAAGTAGGATACCACGCGACGTATGTGGTCCATCTCTTGATCGCTGTACTCGGATGGGTTCTCGGTGGGATTGTGCTCGAGGATCCGCAAAATGCTTTGACCACTATCGCCTTCTTTTGCGCTCATTTCTGTTTTCTACTTGGTGGAATTCTGCGACCGAGGAACGGATTGTTGGCTGACCTTTCGTGGCCAATAGTCTCCCCGGAACCGCCCACCCCAACCTGATGTTGGCGATTGCTCTTGTTCAAGCCAAGCACGAAGCTCAGTCGCGGTCATGTTCACAAGATCTTTGAATTCGCTGGTCAGACTGTCAACCGTTTTCGTTTATTCAGCCTGTCAAGCGGAAAGTACTCAATCACGGTGTCCCTGTCCTTCATTGTTTCTATCGTGGAACTGTCCCGAGGAGAACTGTTGGAAGCGACGAGTGTTGAGTTAACGTCGATTTGGCTGTTATGGGTTTATCGCTTGGAATCTTCAGTTTGACGTCACAGCGGCGGAAGCACATAGGGGAAGCCCTGGAAGTATTCCAAGGTTGCTATGTCACGGTGACAAGGTCCCGAGGTCATCTTCAATTAATCAATCGAAGCTCAATTAACCTGTTGCAGTCTAACTATTTGGGTATGACTATGCAGGGACTTCATCCAACTGAAGCAATAACTCGAAAGCCAAATGCCGAGTTGGGATCACATAGTACTCCCAGAGAGCCTGCAGATGCTAATCGAGTAGCGTGGAATTCCTGTATCCCGCAAAATCCACAAACATATACCCATGAATACGAAATTAACGTATAATGACTGTCATGCAGTGCACCCTCCATCTTCCAACTCCCACTCCTCCCTTCTCACTCACTCGCCTCTTCATCTCCCCCTGGCGAATCGCTCTCTTAGCAGCTCTGGGGAGACGGGTTATCGATTCACCCGTTCTGCTCCTGTTTTCAACTTCCCCGCAGTCAGAAGCGCTGCACTTTTTGCGTCTTCATTGGCATATTTATTGTCGCCTCGAGCTCATCTTTGAGACCTTACATAACCTCGCCCACCTAGGCAGGTCCCTCCTGAAGTCCCGAAATGCCGACCTACTATGAATGTACAGGGTAAATACAAATTATGTAGCACATATCTAGCATTTAGTTAATTAGTTACCATTACCTACATATACAATATAAATAACTAGTTAACTATAGGTCCGCGGAGATGTAGGTAGGATCGAGAAATCCTTATCTTGCCAAGACCCCTAATTCTGATAACTGATTCTCTCTTGACTCGGTAGATCTTCTCAGTGTGAACATGCTCGCTAGTCAGTCATCCTGTTAATAAGCTGAATTCTTATCTAAAGTTTAATGATCGTCATAACTCTAGATTTGAAATAGCCAAGTGCGGGAGCTATTGGCATGTAACCATGCTAGGGGGAATTTGCGCCGAGGTGTGAGAGATAAGCCATCCATTGCACCAGCAAGGGAATTCTAGAGACAAAATGATATATTTCTCATGACCCTCCCGAGTTATAGGCCCCTTCACCCGCGGAAGGGTTGCTATCAATTGGATCAATATCTCTAACTGATTGGGATTGTCTTCTGGTCAAAATGACATTCGATGCCTTCTCTCCTCGCGAGGTGATTGAGGCTATCTCAAAATCAGGCGCACATAAGGGGAACATGAGGCTGGACAAGGTGCTTTTTAGTGCGGTATCAGCAGGTTGTTTACTTGCATTTGCTTGCGGGACTACTCTGAGTACCACTGCCGCACCCTGGTTTCAAGACAATGCCCCGGGTCTGATACGAACTATCGGCGCTTTGGTGTTTCCTTACGGTTTGTGTATGATCCTCCTAACAAGTGCAGACCTTTGCACTGGATCTTTTATGGTATGATTGCCTACACAGCGGACATGGTTACTTTGATATGAGCCGTCAAGTGACTAACTTGCACACTAGTTTACTACTGTGGCAGTCCTCCATCGGCGTTTGCCATGGTCAAAAATGTTGATCCACTGGGCTGTTACATTTATCGGCAACTTCGCTGGGTCGCTATTTATCGTGGCTATTATCTTCGGCTGTATGGAATTCTTCCCTATTACTGTAAACAATGTGACTAATGTTAGACTCATAGATGGAAATGTTTTTCCGCGGAGCCATTTAGGTCTGTTGTTATTTCTTTTGCCACAAAAAAGCAGGTCACCCCTGATTTCCACATGATACTCCTCCGTGGGATTGGATGCAACTGGCTAGTATGTTTAGCTTGCTTCTTTGGTATCCAAGGGCGTGATTTGGCCTCCAAAGTGATAGGAATCTGGTTGCCGACGTTCGCTTTTGTTTCCCTGGGCTTCGACCACGTCGTTGCAAATATGACATTCATTCCATTGGGTATCTGGCTTGGAGCACCACAGATTACAATTGGTTTATACATCTGGAAAGGCATCATCCCGACCTTGTTAGGGAACATCATCGGCGGAGGTATATTTTGTGGTTAGTACTGCCATCCATCTTCGCACATAAAGCCTCTAAACTGATGAAAACATAGGGTGTTACTATTGGTACATGTTACTTCTCGATCTAAACACCCTACCATTGTACGGCAAGGATAGAGCTCGGAGTAGCTCATTGAAGTCAGTGTCGTGCTCAGACCGAGCTAGCAATAAGCGACCAGACATTGAGTCATCGGCCGGAAGTTTTGGTGACCTGAACCCACATGTAAAGGAGTAGAAGAGATATTCGAGTGAATTGGAATGTAATAATGTATCCATCGAATATCTTAAATCACAATCTTGATCGATGTTTGAAGAATTTGTTTATTATAGCACGTTACGTCAATGTACTGCTCTCTATCTTCCGTGATGACTGCGACAGCGCACATCTATTTCTTTTTCTTATCTCTCCGATTTGCTAAAACTTGCGATTATATGAATGTATATTGCGTGATGCCAGCTGTGGCATATATCGGTTTATTAGCCGACGAGCCGGGACAGCAAACCAGCAGCGCGTTTCGAGTTGCCACTTTATTAAATGTAGACCGGAATAGTTGTTGCCTGTCGTCTTACCACCATACATTTATTCCCCCTGTAGTTGAGAAATTGGAAGTAAAATTACAACGTGAGGATGGATGTACAACCAGCAGTGAAGCGAGAGGCCGAAACCGATCGGCACGACGACCCGAGAAAGCTATATCCCCCCACTCGGAGATGCAAAGGGATAGTATATATATCAAGCAGAACTCATTTCTGACAATAGGACAAATTCTTCATTCAGATTCCTGCACTGAGGATATCGTTCATTCAAATAAATCCCCGTTTAACCATGCCCCCGAACTAGTGGAAGCTACTGGCTTACACACTACGTCGAAGCTCGTCAAGCCCTCTGTATTTCCAGATGGATTCAAAACATCCGGTCAACACCCCCCCGTATATTCGCTGATTCGGCCCTATATCGATTTCCCCAAGATCCATACCGGGCCTACAGTGTGGAAAGCCGAGGACTATCGCGAGCATCCTGAGCTTTGGACACATCGATTCACCCCAGAGGAGATCGTAGAGATCAGCGATGCTGCAGATCACTTTACACAAACCGGGACCCCTTTGACTGGGATATCAAAGGTATGGCTATGCGCAAATATGTGATCGACATGACGAGTGGGAACTAACTTGTTTAAAGACGAACTTTCCTTTGCCCAATTTGTCCCAGCGGCTGGAAGAGCTTAGACAAGACCTGATCAATGGGAAAGGATTCTTTCGTTTTAGAGGACTTCCTGTTCAGAAGTGGGATCTTCAGAAATGCGCAACAGCCTATATGGGCCTTGGCACATACTTGGGCTACTTCGTCAGTCAAAACGGTCGGGGTCATGTCCTTGGTCATGTCAAGGATTTGGGAGAAGATCCGACCAAAACGGACAGAGTTCGAATTTACCGAACGAATGCTCGGTATGTAATTATTCTAATTAAAGTAACCAGTGGATCAACTCTAACATTTTCACTAGTCAATACTTCCATACGGATGGGGCCGATCTTGTTGGGCTCCTTTGCATCGCCAAATCGCTGTCTGGCGGAGAGTCTGACATTGTATCCACGCACCATGTATTCAATGTACTACAAGACAGAGATCCCGATGTGACACGAACACTATGTGAACCCAACTGGTACTTTGACCGGAAGGGTGAGACGTCTGAAGGGGAAGAAGGCTGGATTCGAGGTAGCATCTTCTATCTCGAGAACGATACCGGCAGGTCTAGCCCACGAGTCTACGCAAGGTTCGATCCTATGAACGTGACATCGTTAGCACGTTTCAACTCGGGTCCTGATGCATGCATACCCCCTTTGTCAGACAGACAAAATCACGCCCTGGAGGTATTCGAGAAGACCTGCGCGGAGCTATCCCTACATATGGTCCTAGCCCCAGGTGATATTCAATTCCTGAGTAATACACACGTCTTCCATGCCCGAACAGCCTACACGGATCATCCACCTGGGGCAGTTGGTGAAGACGGCCGGCCTGCCCGACGACGGCATCTGATGCGACTTTGGCTGTCGGCCCCAGAATCAGAAGGAGGATGGAAACTACCCTATCACGATACTCTGGAGAAGAAACGAGGAGGTATACAGGTTAACGACACTCCTCCTGTCTGTCCCCTAGACGCGGAGTAAAACCGTAGACCGCTGTATCGATTTTAGTAAAACGTTTTGACATATGTATTAATCAATTAACTAATCAATCAAGGTTCAAATAACCTGTTGCAGTCTAACTAGTTTCGTATAGCTACATAGACGCTTCATCCAACTGAAGTAAGAACTCGAAACCAAATGCCGAGTGGGGGGACCACATAATGCAGTGCACCCCAGAGAGTATATATACAGAGTGCAATTCGTAAAGAGTGTGGAGTCAGCCCATTCCCTACCTCTGTTGCAATTGATAGTGACGTTGTTATAGCCAGTTGTCAAGTGGCATGTTTATCGACTTTGGCTGAGTTCTCGTATCACACTATCGTTTTTGTTATTAGCTAATACCCATCGTCTACTAAGTTATAACTACCTAGATCTATTACCGCTAGGCATATTGGTTCTCCCGTTCCGCTCCTGGTCGCAATTCCTATCCCCGCACGAAGAAGCGCTTTTAACATATACTTTGTATATCATTGCAAGGTCTTAGTGTTTTCGATTTCACGGAAGCAAATACGGCATTGCACTGATGATGATAAAACTCTCTCTCTCTTTTAAATTCCTCCCCACACCAACACAAGAGATAGTCACATGTGTACAATAACTGTGAAAGAAAAATCAGATATGACTCAAAAATGTCAGTCAGCCTTGCTGGGGGAATGGAAACACAGGCAGCCAGGGTTGTGTTTGAGTTGTGGGATATCCACCTGCCCATGGCAATAGTCCAGCTCCCTCAGTTCCTGATCCAACTGCCGTGTCTGCGGGCTGCCATGCCCAGCCAAGATCGGACATGAATAAAGTTTGTAGCTCCTCAAGGCTCGGTTGGTCAACTTCTAACTCAGGGTGACCGCCCTCTGCCCCGGAGTCCCCGACAGCTTCGCAAGGGGAGTGATCAATATCCCCTGCACTATTAACTTTAGGTACCGATGTAGTGCCGGCCCTTTCGGGGACATGTCGCTCCGGTATAGATTTGCGTGCCATTCGGAAAATTGTCAGTGGATTGAGTACGTAGTCTGGCGCGCTTTGAGCGGGAGTTCCTCGAGGGCTGGTGCTGTAATCCATGGTTAGCAACGAAGGACCATATCCAGCAAACGGCCACAATAACCTAGTCTCTTCCTCCTCAGTTGACTGATACGGGTCATCAGGTATGATGTTTTGGGAGACCAACTCGGACTCAATACCGGAACGATCAAGCATTGTTTCTGCCGCGGAGGACTAGTATGTCCAAAATAATGATTAGCATAATTTGAATTGAGGGCTGTAGATAGAGAACGGTCGACTAACCAGTGAGGTAGCGATTGCATTGAGTGATCCCATTAACTTCAGTGCGTTGATGTTACTGCGAAGGAGGGGGATGGCAGCTAGTGCAAGAGCCTTTGCATTATCTGAATTTGGATCTAGGATTTGAGTCAAATGATATACCATGATCCGACAGCTGTCATAGGCGATAGTGGGAATCCAGGAGTCTGCCAACATTCGAGTACCATGCGCAGCCGCCTGACCAATAATAGTTGCCAAGGCCCGAGCTGCATCGAAGAGAACTTGTTGCAGATGTTGAAGGAAGTCTCCCTGTTCAGGAGGGAAGTCGAAAGCGGCCCGGAGTTTGTAAAGCGCCGGGGCCCCTAATCGATATAGGTCGCAGACGGTTTGATAGTGAGCGCAATGGAGTAAACACAGTGCGCCTAATTGCGAGGCATCTTTGCGAATGTATATTGCATCGGGTGTGAATTGCAGACTTGCTGGTAGAGACTCATACCATGCCCGGCAATCTGAATCTAAAAGCGCAAATTCCGATGCAGGGTCCCATGGAACCATAGCGTCTCCCAAATGCTTGATATATCTTGTTTCACGTCAGGTTTAGGAAAGGAAAAAGTAACTTGGAGGTTGTAAATACCTTAAAACTCGTTTGCGGATTGAGATATGTCGAATAAAATACGCCATTATTCCCATGTTAGACAAGAGGATCTTTGTATCTGAATCTTCCGGCAGGATTTTGAGCCAACTTCCAGGGTATAAAGTTTCTGTAAGACAGGGGACATGCTGAATGAAATTGCGCTCGTTGCAAGGAAGTTGAATCTTGATATCTCTTTCATCCATGAGTGTCAGTTGGTCTACGCCGCTGCCGACAAGAGCATCCATTATATAGCAGCTCCACATCAACCGCCGACGAGACTCTTTTGCTGTGACTGGAAGACCATTATCGGTATCCTGGCATAGGATGTCGGTGTTGTATTCCAGATTGATCTGTAGCGCCTGAGTCATGCGTGTAGTGAGTCCACTTAGCATGAACGCGTTGGCAAAGTTCCCCAACCGAACCGCATAGTCATGAAGCAGAACGGCCGCCTTACTAGATCATTAGTTTCAGAATAAAAATGGGCTTTGTTCATAGCGCACCATGAGACTCTCAATTGTCACGCGATCTAATGTTTCAAGAATAAGTCTTTGAGCAATTTTAGCCCACTGGGTGCCTGCAAGAAGGACAAAGTTGGGCTCAAGTACAGCTGTTGTCTCGCTATATGACAGAGTGTAAAACCTTCAAGAGATAAGTTGAGTGGACTCTGCTTTCGAGTCGGTTGGGCTTACTGTGCTCCCAATGCACAGATAACATGTAAAAGGGCATGGTTATGGTGATTCGAATTTTCCCCATCCAATCGTTGCAGGAAAGAAGGTTTGTGGATAAAAGCGAAGGCACGCAAAGGGTGGATGTTGATAAAATACTGTTCGACTAAGATCGCAATTCTCGATGGGTTGGGAAGATGTTGGGTAGACAACCTGCAGCTAGTGAGCAGAGGTATAAAATGTAGGAAAGTAGCTCGCAGCTCACCAGTCAAGTGGAGATGATGAACTCCCGGCTTCTACGAGGGGAAATTCCTCTGTTATAGGCGACGTCCGCATTAAGCTAGGTGGGTTGGGTGGTGTCTGGTCAAAAGACTGTTCAGGCATGGGGGGTAGAGAGAGAGAGAAGTCCTCCTTGTCTAACGGGGTCACGTTGACTCTGCGCACCCAAGTGGGCTGTGTAGATTCGGCGTAAACACATTCGTTTGAACATTTCCAACGGCATCGTTGACATGGTCGCTCACCCGAGCATTTTGTTTTGGAGGCACGACATGCTGTGCAAGACCGATACGTCCTTCTTCCTCTCCCAGAATCTCCCTGATTTGTTTCATCTCCAGTTGTTTGAGACCTCACCGGCGTTGTGTAGCCAGAACAAACCAGTCGTAATCGAGTACAGTTGCCACATTCGCCAGGCTTTTCATCACATTTGACCTATAAAATTGCGATTACATGTTTTAGAATACTAAGCCATTTGGGGTATAAAGATATCTTCTCACCTTTCGAGCACGACAGGTACGACAGCCTACACGTATTAGGAGGGTGATCAATCTATGGATCCTGCCGAGAGAATGACTCACCGAACCGTGATCGCGATGTTTTCTTATCCGAGCCCATACTAATATGGGGGGGGTCAACAATTTAGTAGTGTTATGAATATTCAGAGGTTTTGGATCTTCGGTCAGCTACTGTGATGGCGGGACATGCAAGACAAATGACGAAATCCCCGAAGATGTGGGGAAGGGCTATTTCTAGAAAGAGCGTAGCGTCTAAGATATTTACCCATACATGTACACATCAATAACTAACGTATTTCACCACCGAACCGCCACCACCGGCGAGTCGCCACTCTATCTCTACATATTAAATTTAAATGCATTTATCTCCACCAAGATGCCATTAAATTAAATATAGTAAAATACATCATCTTTCTGGACACCTATTAATTTTATGCCCTGGCTTCCTGCATCCACTACATACTACAGCGTTGTGGGCCCCGTATAGATGGTTGTAAACCCGGCGATGTAGCCCGATTCCGGGGGGATGCTCTCTTATTGCTTCCACCAGCTCAGTAATCAATTGAGATGCTTCTTGTACTGAGAGGCCTTTTTCGGCTAGTACCTGCTTCTTAGATCTAGCTCGCTTTTGCTTCTTCTTCTTCTTCTTCTTCTTCTCGTCGGATCCTCTCATATTGCTATTATACACAAACTATGCCCTAGATCTTATTTCTGCTTTTTGGCATTAAGGTATGCAGATGTATCTTTCGGCTTTTGCGCATGGTGCTACCAGCCAGTTCTTCAAGCAAAAGAGTGCATTTGAATGAGAATACTAAGTATAAGGAGCAAGAAGGGAGGAAAGGATCTCATCAACCTCCAGGTAGTTACATATAGGGGCGGGTTTTGCTCCCAGCGCAAGTAAACGGAAGTTACCTGATACGTAATACCAGAACGGCCTGGACAGAAGGTACTCACAAAAGGCGACAAAAAAGCACTTGGTAAGCGAGTCTCAGATCGAACTCTAGGACACTTCTAAATAACACTGGCATTAGTGGGGAAATTTACTGATGTGAAGTACATTGTGTATTCATCTGTGGGTTTTCGAAGGTTAGTCCACGGGCCGTCCCTATCAATATAGAACTTATGGAGGGGTTTTACATATACAAGTACACATGGGCGACCTAGACGTAGGTACATACATAGAGAGCATGGGTCAGCTGCCATTCACAGCACGAGACTCCTCAAAAATACCTGGGTATGAATTTAGCAACGTTGAAGTCAGATATCAGAGTGAGCAATAATATCAAAACACAGCAAACATGGCAAATATAGCAAACACGGCAAACACGGCAAACACGGCAAACATAATTTCTTATGTACCTACACTAAGGACCAGGCTCCAGGGGCCGCCCCCACGCGAATTCTCATTCCTTCCAAACGAATCCGGTTTGCACACTCCATTATCACAGAGTTCGCTTTCTTCATGTCGATATGGGCTCTAAAACAGCGGAAAATGAGAGCCAAGGGGGTGGTAGTAAGTCACATACCGATAGACCTCCATCGAAGTTGGCTGACATTTGGCAGATGCTCCTTCCAGCTCGACCAAGGCGAATGTCACTGGTGGGGAACCACGAGGCGCCCACTGGTCCCGGGATGGTGATGGCACACTTGGAGAAGGAGATGGAGATGACGATGCTGATGGGGATAATATCCCCTGTACTCTTACCTTGCCGTTGAGCTCGCAAACTGCACCCTCAACAAATTCGAAGAAGAAACGAAAGAGGCCCAAGAAGAAATCTTCCGTGTTGAAGCAATGTTCACCACCGCGAATTCCTCTTACCGATCTCTTCCCTGATCGCCGGTATCCACATGGCGAGGCTCAACTTTATGGGCCTATGGTTGAAAATACAACCCGCACCCCCGCCGAGGAAATCCGATACCAGTCCCGTCATCACATCGAAGATGACACCTTTTTGAATGACTATCGGAAGGCTGCGGAGGTACACCGCCAAGTCCGACGTTGGACGCAAGAGAGTGTTCATCCGGGCCAGACTCTAACGGAGATTGCTGTGGGAATCGAGGATGGCGTGAGAGCGCTGCTCGATAATGCCGGCCTTGATACCGGGCAGGGTCTCACATCCGGACTAGGCTTCCCCACGGGCTTGTCACTCAACAATTGTGTTGCACACTATACGCCTAACCCGGGCCAAAAGGATGTGGTCCTTGACTCAAGTGATGTCATGAAGGTCGATTTTGGCGTTCACATAAATGGCTGGATTGTTGACAGTGCTTTCACGATGTCATTTGACCCAACCTATGATAATCTGCTTGCCGCTGTCAAGGACGCGACAAATACTGGCATTAAGGTAAACAATCCTTGGGTTACAAGCTCGACTTAACGCTGACCACTTCAAGACTGCAGGAGTCGATGTCCGCATCAGCGATGTTAGCGCTGCCATACAGGAAGCAATGGAAAGCTACGAGGTTGACATCAATGGACGGACCTTCCCTGTCAAGGCGGTGCGCAACATCACTGGGCACAATATCGAGCAATATCGCATTCATGCCGGGAAATCTATACCATTTGTCAAGAACAATGACAACACCAAGATGGAACATGGAGAGATATTTGCCATTGAAACATTTGGAACGACCGGTCGTGGCTATCTCTCTGATGGGGTAGGTTTCATCCTCCTTGCCTACAGTCATCACATACTCACGCAACTCTTTAGCCTGGGGTCTATGGTTACGGTAAAGACCCATCCGCACCAAAAAGGATCACATCGCACCTTGCCAGTGCCAAATCCCTGTATCAGAAAATCAACGAAAATTTTGGCTCACTTGTCTTCTGTCGCCGTTATCTTGAACGGCTTGGCGTCGAACGTTATCTGGCTGGTGTGAGTCTTCGTATCTCCCAAAAGAAGACCAGGTGCTTATATGAACAGATGAACAACCTTGTTTCTAATGGGTATGTCGAGATGTACCAACCTCTGATGGACATTGAAGGATCGTATTCCGCCCAATTTGAACATGTTTGTTGCCCTTCTCCTATATGAACCAACATGCGATGCTTACCTTTCTAGACAATTCTGCTGCGAGAGTCCTGCAAAGAAGTGATCAGTCGCGGTGATGACTATTGAGGTCACCGAAAGTGTAGCCTTTTTATTAATTTTTTCTATGGTTTCCCACTTCAATCGCTATTCAACATAGCTTTCACTGCGCGCTCCTTTGTGATAGTCAGCTTTTAGTGGTCATTCAACATTGGATAGTCTAAAATACAGACGACTTCTTCTACATTTTCGACCAAAGCTTCCCTTTTAGGAATTTTCGACCAAACGCTAACCCAATTCGGAATTTTGAACCAAAGCTACTGATCCAGTTGAAAAACTTCAACCCCTGTATTCGGCTGATAGACAAGAAAAAGAATTTGTCCAGTATCCCAGGAAGTTGTCCCATCAATATACATTTTAATGGGGTGCAACCTTCCTCTCAATTGGAGACGCCCGGATCCTCCGCATCCCCAGCAATGCCTTCGTCATCAAAGGCCCAAGTCAATGACGACTTTAATATTCCTTGACTTCGAGATGTTGCGGTCAGAGAGTATAGCGCATGGCATGAGGCGAATGTCGCTGATGACCATTTAAAAGCTCAGTTTCGTCAAGCATGCGATATCGCACTGGCGAATGGTTTCGATCTTCAGCTAATCTACGAGGACCAAGATCCGTCATTCTTTATCGATCAAGGGATCATGGTGGGTATTGCCCGTCAATTCGTAAGAGATGTGGTGAAATGGGTCAGAAGTATGAGGAATATTTCGCCGATTGAGTGTATATAGATAGTACTCTAAAGAAGCATACAATAGTGGCTAGGAGAATCGCGATATTTGTTATTGAACTATAGTACTTGTTTCGAATATCTACTTCAGAATATAAATAGGACATAACGGTAGACGGAAAATAAGTAGAGCCTCAGGTAGGTTTCATTAGCAGTCCGTAGTACATATATATATATATATGTGACGTTCCTATATCGCTGGTCTAGTCATTGAATTCTGAGCCTAGATATCAACGCCAGAATGTCTAAAATGACCCAAAGCACTTTGTTTTCGAGACCCAACAACCTCAATACACCAGTCGAGGAAGGTTTGAAACCCTTGTTCTGAGTTTTCCTCATACCGTACCCAGTTCCGTCTAATGAATGCTTTCAACTCCAAGAAAAACTCCTCGATCGGATTCAGGTCGGGTGAGTACGGTGGCAGATACACTAGCTTAACTCCTGCTGCAGTGCACATTGCATCGATACGATCAGAACGATGAAAAGACGCGTTGTCCATGACTAGAACGGACTTTGGCTCAGGCCATCTTCCACAATGCCTTAGAAGCTGATTAATGAAGTCCTCAAATAATGCAGCGTCGGTGGAGCCCTGGAAAACACGAGAGAGTACGATCCCATCTTGGCAATACGCAGGCAAGATCTGGTACCGTTGGTCGCGGTGAAAGTTGGCTACCTGCAATGGCGCTGTGCCTAACGGAGACCAACCTGTCCGTCTAAACCCGATCCGTTTACAGTACATCTCGAAACTGGCGCGACCACCTTTCACTCTTCGAGTTACTTTTTAGCCCCCACTGCCAAGAGACGCTAGTATATATTGGGGATAAACCCGGAATATTGATATTCCTGCATCTGTCTCAATTCCTCGACTTACTCTCACTAACATAACTGCTTTGCTTCGTAACTGTATTGGCGAACCAAGGGAATTAGAACTTTCCATGGTAGTGCAGACAAATTAAACACCAGAGCTGGGAGAATACCTCGATATCTGAAACTCAATTATTTGCCCGTTTCGAGGGAATCTAGCGCGCTACTTTCCTGATTAGGAACCATGCTTGGCCCCAATATGAGCCCTGTACATTGTGGGTCTCAAAAGGCTTTTACAACCCACCACCAGGCACAGGTGCAATCAGAACTAATCCGTATGGGTCATGTATGCCGCGGCCCCGGGGATCTCTGGGGCCGTGAGCCCTGGTTCCCATGACTCGCTGCTGGGGCATTCGTTTCAAGTATATGTCATGAACACTTGTATGACCCTCCTTGAGCTAACACTCAAGTCACGGTCCATTAGATACAGACTCTAGCTCATCTGTATGTCTCAGTCGCCTGGGTCTAGACCCACAAATCCGCCCCAGGTTGAACTGGGATATAAACTTGTTTACTTGGAAAATACAGACATTTCCGGGTAGAATCTTAAGCCGTATAAGGTGAAATGTTACTTTGTGGAACTTTGCGCTACTTTGCTTAGGCACATTCCTCTTGTTCCAGCTGAAAGGATTTGCTAGCGCATATTGGATTGATGAGAGGCCGACATTGCCATCTAACAGGGCTGTGCAATTACAAAAAATAGGACGATAATGCTCCTCGAGAGTACTACCTCTTCAAGTACCCACGCGGGTGTACTTGGGGACCAGGAAACAAGATATCGGTAGGCAAGTAAATGCCTCAATTAATTTACTGACTAGAAAGTCGGTTCTGACCATGACTTGTGCGCTTCATTTTTGAGTATTTTAGCAACGAGAATGCCAGAAGGATATCGCTTCTTAACTCCATAAGATTCAAATCACTCAAATCCGTGAAATCTCTTATTCTTGTATCGATTCACCTCCCCCCCTTCAATCATGCAGTTGGCAGCTCTCTTCTGTTTCTGCATCTCCGCAGCCTCCGCAGTTAAGCATTATGGCTTGACACCCACCGAGGACGTGAGGAACATGGTAAACCATCGTGTTCAGGCGTTCTCGGGCGATGTCATGAACCTCACCTCTTTGTTCACGACCGACGCCCTTCATAATCATGACGGAGCCGACTTCTTGGCAGCGGAGCTGGGCATCTTCAACAAGACTCTTGCCGATGTCTTCCCTCCGCATACCTCCAGCTCTGGAAACAGCTCCATTCAAGCGAGAGCCACAGTTGAAGGCACATGCCAGGGTCATGGAAAAATTGAAGATAACCTGAGCAGTCTTCAGATCAACAGCATTTGTTATTCTATCGCGGGTGCTGCTGCCAGCCCTATCACCGCAATCATTGGTGTCATTGACAGCAATGCTTGCGTGGAGTCATCCTCTGGTCATTCCGTTGGCTTGTGCAAGACCATTTTTATGATGATCAATACCGCTGGCACGACATTTACTGGTGGCATGGTTAGCACCTATTGCCCTGCTTTCCTCAGTCTCTTTGTGAAATGCAAGGGCGCTGATGCACAAGGCAATCCTATAAACAACAAGGACATTGACATGACTGCGTTCAACACTCAGAAAGACCGCAACTGCGACGGTCCCACTGGGGGCGAGAAATGTACCGAGGTGCACGTGTAAAGGCTTGCTGGGATATATATGGATCCACTGGGTATTTTGTTGATGTGAAGTTCACTAGAGTTTCGGTTGAAAGTCGGGCGAACGCTCATGAAGATCGCTAGAGGAGTCAAGTTGGCATCATGGATATGTATTTACATGTATACTACTTTGCACATACATAGCAAGTAGTGAACTATCTCAGACCTTTTGAAATAGTATCTTGCAGTAAAATACTTGACCCCATGTGTTGTCAACCATCTCATAATTAGCGCATAAGCCCTCCCGAGGTGTTGAATGATAGAAACATGGTCATTCCTCGTTACTAGATATCATAGTACCCTCGACGCTTTGTGTCTAATCCAAGTCAATATCCAAAGTACATAGTATATGTAAGCCTCGTTCGCTTTAGGCGGGGCCAACGCCTGTATTAGCGGGGTCACATAGTGGGCCCGAAGGTTCCGCAGGCGACATCTCCACAGGCAAGTTGCTGCCTGTGCTATGTCACCTGTCTGCAGAATTTCTTGATTCTTTTCTGTCCGCGTGTATTAAGGTACAGATGGTCGTGTTTTAAATGAGTGTAGGCCTAATTAAGCCAAAATTACAGCCTAAGTGAAGCTAGAGTCCACTTGTCTCGAAGGGTGACTGTTTCCACCGTAAATGTATGTAATACTCCACTTCCGGTCGACATTTTCTGTTTCAATTATTTCCATCGGCCCCAGAAGCCACGCACGGTCTTTAAGTTTCAGGCGGTCGGGCGGAAGTCACTGGTCTATAATAATTCCCCTATAGCCCTGCGCTAGGGCAGCCTTGGACTTGGCTGTTTTAACTCGATATTGCGAACAAACCGATACCATCCATATTATTATTGACGACATAAGTATCGTTTGATTTATCCATTTCCATTCTCCGCTTCGCACGATATCCCACATATCATCTATCAATATTGGGACTTGGAAGATAAGCCTTTCACTGCTTTGATATTGGTCGGTAGGTAGTAACAATTTCCATTGATTGAAACAGTAACTTGGATTCAACTAACCTTCTAATATTTAGATCGTACATCGGCAGTGTCAATCGCAATATGAAGACCGAAGATAATGGCGAATTCGCCCCTCCAACTCATGCTCCTCGGCCTCAAGGCCCTTCGTGGCGAAGTTTTGCCGAGACTGTCATGATTAGCGGCGTGACTTTCACAGTAACCCTCTGTATCACAGATGCTATCTTCAAATCTGATAGCTTTTTCGTTCGGTGGGCGGTTTTTGCGTCATTATATGCGGTTTTCAATTTTCTGTACCAGAAGGTCGTCCGAGCTACTTGAACCTATTCATAATGTGTGAATTTTGCAAATCGGATCCATATACAGCACTTAGATATCCTCCTAATTTGTACAATGACCGCGATCATAGGCACAAGCTTCAATCACGAAGTCGTCACCATTGACCTGAATATCTAAATAGACGCATGCCTGCCACTCTTACTTCCTCGGACCCAGCGCAAAACTGAACTCCTTCAAAACCGGCGAAAGCTTCCACCTTGCAAAGAGCTGTCAAGTCTCCACTAAGATCCGCTGTAGCACCTCCCCCTTCTCCACCTCTGTAGCAGGCCACACACCCTCCCATATCCTCACATATGGTTCCACGACCCCCAAGACCTCCCTTAGCCACCTCCCTGCCCTCCCCTCCTCAATCGTCCCTGTCCCCACCATCCCCCTCTCCAGTTCCTCCAGAAACTCACCCACCTGCGCCTTCACCCCCACCGTCTCCTCCTTTGCAACAGCAGCCAAAAACCCCACCTCCTCCTCACAGCCAACCTCTCCTTCCCACCCTCTACACCATGCCTCCGACCCCACCCCACCATCCGGCCACCTACATCACATCACCTCACTCTTCCACACGCCATCCACATCCGGCTCAGCAACCTCCCTCCTCGCCGCACTCGCCTCCCACAGCTGCGCCGAGTACTTTGCTGCCCACGCATACACATCATACGCACCCTGCGCGACCAGTACCCCGAAGATATTCGGCTCCCACTCTTCCCGGGAAACTGCCTTGGCTAAGCTGGATCGGCCAGGGGAACCGAGCCCCATGTACTTAAGCCAGAAGCGTGCTTGCGTCTCCGAGTAGGGCGGCACGCTAGTGTAGGCCGTGCGTAGGCGTATGATAGTCATCTCGAGCGTGCTGAGGGCTAATCCAGTGGGAGTCGCGAGCGGGAGGGAGGGCTGCCTGCGGCGCGTGCGTGCGACTATAGGCCCAACGGGGGAGGTTTCTTGGCTGTGCCGGGGGGTCGCTGGCGCAGCAGCTCTAGCAGGGAGTCAGAGTCAGGTAGGTCTTAGAGGTCAGGCAGGTGGTAGAAGCGCGCTGTGGTACGCTTGGTAAGGAAGGCAGTAGAGTAATAGGAGAGCTATACGGAGGAGTGGAGGAGTGCGTGGTGTGTGGTGTAGAAGGGCTGGAAATCATCAGGGAAGGGGAAGTCACCCTCAAGTTGGTCGGCGGAGCGGTAGATAGCCGCTGCTCGCTAGGCGAGTTAGAATATATCCAGGGTGCTGTGATTTCTTAGTCTTTATACTCATAGGACAGTGCTATTGCCCAGGGGATCATAACTAGACCTGGCATTATACCGCCCATAGGTGCAGTACCTCCGCACCTGCACCTGCACCTCAGGAGGTTCAGGTGCGGACCTTCGCACCTGACCCGTACCTAAGGGTCGATAGGTTCGGTGCAGGGTTACCCTCATCAACCCGCATATGCATAAATTTCTGATACCTTACCCCTTTTGGCTGGATAAAATGGATGATTTATCTCTGTTTTTTACACCTATTCCGTCAGCCTGAAGCCATATCAGTGAATACTCTATTAATATAAGGATTTATGAACAAATACTTATGTAAAAGTAAACAGTAGGTATTGTTACCTATAAACTCTAAATAAATATAAAGAAATTCGACGTTGGAAGTGGTTAATAAGGGTTATTAACAAAACAGCATATAAAGTTGCAGATAGACCTGGCCAGGAACCACGGGTGAACCTCACGAACCTCAAGGAGGTTCACCCACCCGGAGGTTAAGGTTCTATGACCTAGAACCTCCGGGCGGTTCTATCTTGGACCGAACCTTATGGAGGTTACCCGCGGGTGAACCTGAGGTTCAATAAGTATGACAAATAGGTAAAAAACGTGACTTAGGGTCAACTACATAAATTATGTAGAAATAGGCTGTATTCTCTCGTAATTATAAAACAATACTTTATTAATGTATGCCCTTATAGGAGGATTAGACTGCGACATCGCCCGTCCATGGGCACCTAGGAGGTGCCCAAGGCCCGTCCACGGTGGGCCTTGGGCTATTTGGATTTTCGAGTGCCCGTCCATAACGCCCAAGGCCCACGGGCATGCCCACGGCGGGCATGCCCACGATGCCCACCATTGCATAAAGTCACCCAAAATGGACGTATAACTCGCTGACTTTGCATAATAAATAACTGTTATTTACACCTGTTTTGCCAACTCCATGTAAAATGGCAGTTTTAATCTACAACATCTATAAATTTTACTGAAATATCTATGTATATGAGAAACTAGTATATATATGATACGAATTGGAATAAAATTTTAATCGAAATACATCATATTGTGTGGTATTTTTATTAACTTATCAAATCATACTGTAACAGCTTGAAGATATATATTTAAGTCAGTGGTACATGCCTGGCATTTTCTATAAGTAAAATACTACTTATGGATTCTACTTTATCTCTCACTCTAGTATATTTCTCATAGGTAGATCGAAAGATAATTAGTATAATTCTTATTTTATAAGCTTATATCACTAAATTCTGTCAATTATATCACTCAAAGACTTGTGTTATTATTCTGGGAGTTTTAAATCCTTCGATTGTAACTCAAGATGGGCGTTTAGGTATGTTCCCATGGGCGTGCCCACGGGCGTGCCCACGGGCATGCCCATGGACAAAGACACTTATAGCCAATCTAGACTGCGACATCGCCCATGGACGGGCGGGTGGGCAGTGCCCACGGGCCTTATGTAAGCGGGCGATGGGCACTATCCATACGCCCATGGACGGGCCCTACCCTTAGGGCCCATTGTCCATGGACACCGTGGGCGCCCATGGGCCTTTTTAGTAAGCAGAATTTCTTGACCTCGTGACCTGCATTATTTGTGCATTTTTTTCTCTGTATTTTTGAGTAATTCGATTACATGTACAATGACTTGATACTACTGTCAATTTTCTGACCGAGGTCAGAAATGAGCTTTAGAAGCCTTTATACAACAACTTGACACATTGTCACTTTTTTGACCGGGGTCAGAAATAAGCCTTGGAAGCCTTTGCATAATGACTTAGGCATTCATTATATTCATATATTTACACTAATACGATACAAATTGATCATTATTAGGTTTGCCACGCTTCCTTGCTTCTCTTAAACCAGGGCGCTTTTGAGTGCTACCCTTATCTCCATAATGAGGGAGATGAGGACTGCTCTTATCTTCGCTGTCGACTAGCTCACTTCTCTGTCGCTTCCGCGTACTTAGCACTATAGAAGGACGAGGAAGCTGACTCTCCATCATAAACTCATACTCGATCAGTCCAACAGGATCATTATCCTCGGAATCCTCACTATCGCTGATTGGTTCAGGCATGTCAGTGGTAAGCTTAGCCTCTCTCTGTTCGTCTGCTTCTTGCATTGAATCCAAGGACGTATCCTCATCGGGTAGTTCTTCTATTTCAATGTCGAACTGGGTTTTATACCGGAACATTATGATATCCTGGACTGTCTTCGTACTCAGCCGCCCACGTCGGTAGTGGCAGACATCCCGTGCTAAATTGAAAAGACGTTCAACTCTAGCGCCTGTTGCAGGAATAGAGAGAATGTCGCGAGCAACACTGGAAAGAATTGGGAATTCATTACCTGGTCGAAGTTCTCCCAGACATCTAATATGTGTTTTGCATCCTATCGTAGCCTTTGTTGTGTCTCAGTACTGCTGCCGCGTACTGTGGTACGCCACCACTCGATAAACTTTACTTTGGACGCGTTGTTCATCGCGTCGTAGAGGATAAACTGCTTTCTCCGATCGGGGCCGACGCGTTTGAGAGAGCAATCAAGAATAGCCGGTTGAGTGAACTCGGACTCTATCAGTGAGATAGAAGTCTGTTGGCTGTTGAAGAGACTGGGATCAATATTTGGATTAAGGTTAGGATCAAATATATCGGCGACGTAGGAGAGGTCTGGTTGGGAGCTCGGAGGAAGTGAAGAAGGCCCTGCGGTATAGGCACTAGGTTGGGACATGGTTAATGTGATGTAAGGGATAATATAACGACTATAGGAGAGTGAGTGATCTGAACTTACAATAGGTAACTTGCGACCGTGTGAAACGAGGATTACTAGTAAAAGGGGTGCTTTGTATAGATCTGATAGATCGTAAATTGAGTGTAGACCCACTATATATTATAAGCTGATTGGCTATAAGTGTCTTTGTCCATGGGCATGCCCGTGGGCACGCCCGTGGGCACGCCCATGGGAACATACCTAAACGCCCATCTTGAGTTACAATCGAAGGATTTAAAACTCCCAGAATAATAACACAAGTCTTTGAGTGATATAATTGACAGAATTTAGTGATATAAGCTTATAAAATAAGAATTATACTAATTATCTTTCGATCTACCTATGAGAAATATACTAGAGTGAGAGATAAAGTAGAATCCATAAGTAGTATTTTACTTATAGAAAATGCCAGGCATGTACCACTGACTTAAATATATATCTTCAAGCTGTTACAGTATGATTTGATAAGTTAATAAAAATACCACACAATATGATGTATTTCGATTAAAATTTTATTCCAATTCGTATCATATATATACTAGTTTCTCATATACATAGATATTTCAGTAAAATTTATAGATGTTGTAGATTAAAACTGCCATTTTACATGGAGTTGGCAAAACAGGTGTAAATAACAGTTATTTATTATGCAAAGTCAGCGAGTTATACGTCCATTTTGGGTGACTTTATGCAATGGTGGGCATCGTGGGCATGCCCGCCGTGGGCATGCCCGTGGGCCTTGGGCGTTATGGACGGGCACTCGAAAATCCAAATAGCCCAAGGCCCACCGTGGACGGGCCTTGGGCACCTCCTAGGTGCCCATGGACGGGCGATGTCGCAGTCTAAGCCAATCAGCTTATAATATATAGTGGGTCTACACTCAATTTACGATCTATCAGATCTATACAAAGCACCCCTTTTACTAGTAATCCTCGTTTCATACGGTCGCAAGTTACCTATTGTAAGTTCAGATCACTTACTCTCCTATAGTCGTTATATTATCCCTTACATCACATTAACCATGTCCCAACCTAGTGCCTATACCGTAGGGCCTTCTTTACTTCCTCCGAGCTCCCAACTAGACCTCTCCTACGTCGCCGATATATTTAATCCTAACCTTAATCCAAATATTAATCCCAGTCTCTTTAATAGCTAACAGACTTCTATCTCACTGATAGAGTCCGAGTTTACTCAACCGGCTATTCTTAATTACTCTCTCAAACGCGTCGGCCCCGATCGGAGAAAGCAGTTTATCCTCTACGACGCGATAAACAACGCGTCCAAAGTAGACTGCGGCACGATCCGCAATATCCGCGGATATCCACAATCCATATCCGCAAAGTGCGGATTTGGATATTTTTTGATATCCAATATCCGCAGCCTTGAGGATTTGGATATAGACCTCATATCCATTGGATATCTGCGGATATCCAATGGATATCAAACAGAGCAAACACGCTAAGACATGCCAAGAAACTTCCTATTTAGGAGGTCATATGACTAAAATCCATAGAGATATGCATAAAAATTACTAGATCTAGTAATTTTAGCGAGATTTTACTAGTGCGGATATCCAAGGATATCCGCACTGCGGATATGGATATCAACTGATATCCGCACTGCGGATGTGGATATCAACTCATATCCAATATCCGCAATTTGCGGATATAAGGATCGATCTGATATCCATTGGAGCGGATATGCCGCAGTCTAGTCCAAAGTAAAGTTTATCGAGTAGTAGCGTACCACAGTACGCGGCAGCAGTACTGAGACACAACAAAGGCTACGATAGGATGCAAAACTAGACCTGGCTTTGAACCTCCGCATGGGTCCCTACCCCGGAACCTCGAACCTCACCTCTTGAGGTGAGGTTCCAACCTTACTAACCTCCAACCGCCCATTAACCTCCAGAGGTTCTTTGAGGTTCAACCTCCATCGACCCGCATGAACCTGCATATACATAATTTCTTGACGCCTTTCCTCTTTTGGCTGGATAAAATTGATGATTCATCTCTGTTTTTTACAGCTGTTCCGTTAAACTATAGACTTTCCACTGAATACTCTATCAATATAATGAATTATAAAGATATAGTCATTGAAAAGTAAATAGGAG